CTGATGCTTTATGTAACTCTGAATTTCTGAACGATACCATTTTTCTTGACCCTGAAGAACTTTTTTTTTAACATTTCTTGTAAGACAGGTCTACTGCTACCAACAAATCCCTTCAATTTTCAATTTTTTTTTTGCACAAGAAAGTGTTTCTCCTTTAAAGAATAATTTTTTTTAGGATATAAAATTCTACCTTGATGATTTTATTTATTTATTTATTTATTTATGTAACACTTTAAGTATTTTTACTCCACTCTCTTCTTGCTTACATGGTTTCTGGAAAGTCAAATATTTTCTTTCCCTGGCTTCTTTCAAGATATTAATTTTCTAAAGTTTGACTCTAATACGCCTTGGTATAGGGTTTTGTGTTGTTTGGGGGGCTTTGGGAGGTTTTGTTATTGTTCTTGTTGTTTGTTTGTTTTGGTATTTATCCTGATTGTTCTATGAGCTTTGTGAATTTATCATGTGAATTTATTTATGTATTTATATATATATATTTTTTTGAGACAGAGTTTTTAGCCCAGGCTGGCCTTGAACTTACTGTCCTCCTACCTCAGCCTTCTAAGTACTAGGAGTGCAGGCATGTGAGTTTTCTGAAATTGTTTTGGGAAAATTTCTGTGCAATATCTTGTTTATATTCCTTTCTGTCTTTACTGCCTTTTGGTTCCCAATACATGTATGTTATACCTTTTGCAGTTATACCACAGTTCTTGGATAGTCTATTCTCTTTTTTTCTTCAGATTTTTTTTTGTTTTTCAGTTTGGGAAGTTTCTATTGACATACCTCCAAAAAGTTCAGAGATTCCTTTCACGTTCAGTTCACTAATGAACCCATCAAACACGTTCTTTATTTTAAAATGTTTTTTATCTCTAGCATTTCTTTTTTAGTCTTAGAATTTTTATCCCTCTGCTTACATTATCTATCTGTTCATACATGGTGTCTGCGTTTCCCATCAGAGCCCTTAGCGTATTAACCATACTTATTTTAAATTCAATTTGATAATTCCAACATCCCTGTCATATCTCATGCTTGTTCTGCCCCTTCAAACCATGGGGGTTATTTTGCTCTATTTTGTTTTGTTTTGTTAGTATGCTTTTTTTTTTATAGAAAGGTAGACAATTGCCCTTAGCATTGTGATGGGAGGGGCAGTGGAGGGAGGGGGAGCAGAATTCCATAGCCCAATGAGGTCTCCTTCTTTTACTGAACTTATATCCCTGACCTGTGAACTTTGTAAGTGCTTCTCAGGATTTTTTTGTTTTTTCTATTTTCACTCCCTTTGGTGGTATAGGATGGCTGGAGGGGATCAAAACTGCATATTTCCTTTCTCCCAGGTAGATTAAGCTCTGGAAAAATGCTATTTTTTTCCTGAGGAAAATATGGGAATGGAAAGTTCTAGTGTTTTTTTTTTTAAAATGGTTCCCTTCTCCTCCCCCTGCCAGAAACAAGAAGACTTTGCTACCACATTTACTGTGAGTTGTTAGAGCTTCTGGAGATAAAACTTAGTGAAGTGGGGAGGGGGAACACTTCTATGACTGGGACTCCTTGAATTTTAGCTCCCAAACTACTTATGTGCCTTCAGCAATTTGTCACAGTTCTGGGGTGATTTTGTTTGTTTGATTTGTTTTGCCTAGGAACTTACTTCACAAAGGTTTGTGCTATTGAGTTTCAGGCTAGATAAGTCATTCTCATCATCTACTTGACTGCCTCCAGTTTTAGGGCAGTGTTTTGTCCTGTGACTATACTTCTTTGATAGATTTAAAGAGTTTTTTTTTTTTTTTTCAGTATGTTTAGCTTTTTACTTGTTAGATGAAATGGCGATTTCTAAACCAGAAACCAGAAGAACTCCCCATTCCCTCCTATTTCCTCCTGTAAGTTTTTCAGGTTTATATTTTATACTAGGGTCTCTAATTTTGAATTAATCCTTCTATTACATGTGAGGGATGGGTCAGAATGTCTTTTTCTTCTTACATAAATATTATTCAGGTTTTCTAGCACCATTTGTTAGAAAAATCTAAGCACCATTTGTTGAACAAACTATCATTGTCTTTGAATTTTTGTCAAAAATCACTTGACTGTATGTGTAGAAGTATTTTTGAAATACTGTGCCAGTATTCTATCCATCTTTCCTTTTTCTCGCACCTCATCAAGTTAATTCCTTTGAAGAAAATCTAGAAATCAGACAGTGATTTCTAGACCTCAAAATTTGTTTTTTGGTTTGGCTCTTCTATTTCCTTTACCTCTCCATACACATTTTAGAATTACCTTGTTGATTTCTTTTTGAGGAGGCATTATTAGGGGTTGAACTCAGGTCCTTGTACTTACAAGGCAGGTACTCTACCACTTGAGTCATGCTCCTAGTCCTTTTTGAGATCAGGTCTCAGTTTATGCCTGGGTGGGCCTTGACCACGATTCTCCTATTTGTGCTTCCTCAGGTAGCTGGAATGATAAGGGCACACCACCTCACCCAGCTTCTTATTGGTTGAAATGGAGTCTCAACAACTTTTTGTTCAGGCTGTCCTGGAACCAGATCCTCCTGATCTTCACCTTCCAAAAAGCTAGAATTATAGGCATGAGCCACTGTGCCTGACTATCTTGTTGATTGCTGGAAAAAAAATCATGCAGGATTTGGTGTGCAGAATTACATTTAAACTAGAGAACATCTTGGGGAAAATTTGTACCTTGAAAATACTGAGTTGGAAAACTCATGGAAAGTTTATTCCATGGGGAGCATGGAGTATCTCTCAATTTGGTTAAATAATCTTGGATTTCTTTTATCAGTGTTTTATAATTTTTTGCATACAGTTCTTGCATATACTTCATAGGATTTGTAGCCAAATATTCTGTATTTTCAGGTGCTATTAGAAATCTTTTTTTTTTAATTCTAATTTTAATTGTTCATTTTTGTTCCTAGGAATAAGATTGAGCTTTTGTATTGACTTGCATCATTTTGTTATATTCACTTATTCTAGTAGCTTTTTAGTAGATTGTCTAGAATTTTCCACATAATCATATTTTAATACGTTTTATTTTTCCTTTTTCAATCTGTGTGTTATTTCTCTTGTTGCCTTATTTCTGTAGCTCAGATGTTATCATTTTGAATATGAGTAATGAAAAAAATCTTTTTACTTTCTCTTGATCTTGGAAGTGGAAGAGGGGAAAGCATTCAGTCTTTTATCATTAAGTATGTTAGCTGTAGAATTTACCTTATAATACCCTGATCAAGTTGTGAAATTTTCATTTATTCCTGTTTTCTTGACAATATTTCATTAAAAAAGTTGAGTTTTGTGAAATGCTTTTTGTGTGTCTATTGTATGCTTTTTCTTTAGTTTGTTGATATGATGCAGTAATTTTGTTTGGTTGGTTGGCTAAGTTGTTTTGGGTTTTTTTTTTTCTCCCCTTTCTTTTGAGTCAGGGCCCCTTTATATGGCCCAGGCTGGCCCTGAACTTGCGCTCTTCCTGCTTTCAGCCTCTCAAATGCTGAGATTTCAAGCTTGCAGCACCATACACGGCTTGTGAATTAATATTGAATGTTGAATTAGCTTTTCTTAGGTTTATGTGATTTTCCTTTTTTTATTAGAATATATTAATTCTACAAAACAATGGCTTTCATTATGACATTTTTATACATGTACTTTGATAATATTCATCCCCCATTACCCTTTATTGCCCCCCCCCCGGGCTGTAGTTTTCTTTTAATATGGTTTTTGCCTGGTTTAGTATCATTATAATAGTGGTTTCATTAAATGAGTTTGGGCAGTGTTCCCTGTTCTATATTTTTGTAAAATTCATGTGGAACTGGCATTGTGTCTTCCTTAAATATGTGCTAGAATTCATTATGAATCCACTTCAGCCTATAGAGTTTTGTGTTGGAAGGTTTTTAACTACATATTCAATTTTCAAAATAGATATAAGGCTGGGTGGGCACAATAGAACATGCCTTTAGGCCCAGCTACTTGAAATGCTGAGGTGGAAGGATTGCTTGAGCCCAGCCTGGGCAATATAATGAGTTTTCATCTCAAAAACAAAAAAAAAATCAAACAAACAAAAAACCATATATATATATACACACACACACACACACATATGATTTTAGAGAAACTTTGACAGTTTGTATGTTTAAAAAATTTAATCATTTCATCTATATTACCAAACTTACGGTATAGCATTGTTCATAGTATTTACTTATTAGTTCATTATTAACTGTATAGTCATGTCCTCTCTTTCATTCCTGATACTTGCAACTTACATCTTCTCTTTCTCTTTTCTTCCCCCTGCTTTGATCAGTCTAATCAGAAATTTATCTGTTTTCATGAACAGTAGCTATTGTAAATATTCATTATGTGTCATATATCTTTTACAGAACTTTGATTATATTTTATTTAAATATCCAGGAATCTATATTTTCTATTATTCTCCCCTGTTACAGAAAAATAAAATGAGGCCTATATATATTAGGGTAATTGCCTGTAAGCCAATAGCCAGAGTGACAGATCCAGGATTCAAATCAAGTTTAGCTGAGTCCAAAAGCACTTTTAACTACTTTGCTTTATTGACTGGTATGAAGGATAAATCAAAGTTAGCAAAACTTATGAAGCATCTCCTCCCTTGTATTGTGACTAGAAGAAAACTTTTTGTTCCCTTCACCACATTATAATAACCACTGTTTTCTATGATTGTACCCTTCCCTGATTAACAGCATATAATAGAACCTCTTTGCATAAGGTCTCTGGAAATGTATTGGTCCTTCCAAAAGTTTAGAAAACTCAGTCAGGGCCCCTACAAGGTGACACAGAAAATCTGAGGACTTCTAGTTACCAAATACTAGATGACATGTTTTAGATTTTTCAGAGCACCAGAGCTGCTACGGCCTTCTAACACCTGGATACCTGAATAATTGTCCTAATGTCTGTTTTTGAAAGTCTTAAAAACCTTAACTATGCCCTTCATAAGTAGGAGATATGCTTTTGAAAATACAGGCTGACATACCTTCCTTGTTTCCTCAGGTCTGACGGTAACTGCTATAAAAGACTCAGGAGAATGGAATTTGGAGGCCGGGGCCTTAGTGCTTGCAGATGCGGGCCTTTGCTGTATTGATGAGTTTAATAGCCTCAAAGAGCATGATAGAACCAGTATCCATGAAGCAATGGAGCAACAAACTATAAGTGTTGCTAAGGCTGGGTAAGCATTTCTTTTCTTTAAAAATCTATAGAAATTGAGGAGGTTATTTAACATATAATTAGAATAAAATGGGAACCTTATTGATTCTTTCAAGAATTTCAGTTATCACTCTTCAAGATACACATGAAAGTTTTTCTTATTAGAATATAGATGTGTATAAGTAAATTATTATTAGGAGAAAATGAAGTATAAATGGAGACTGACTTAACTAATGAGAAGAATTTATGAAGAGCTTTCAATGCAGAATTCAACTTATTCTCTTTCATTTCAGTAAATATTGTGTATGTACTCTGGGCATTATTACTGTATTAGGAATTTTGAAAGCTTCAAGAAGAGAAAAATGTCATATTTTCTGCTTTCAATAGTATTCTTCCTATAGATCCTAATGGAAAGTGGACCACAACATATGGAAAACTAGATAATAAAAAATATATTAGCATAAGATAAAGCTCCATTTGTGAGGCAGGAAAACTTAAGATTGAGATATTTGAGTCTCTGCCTACCAATGGAAAGGAAAAATGAGCCAGGTTTAGAAATCTACCCACCCAGGCCATGAAGTGGCTATTGGAACCTTACCTAGTTTCAAAAGTTGGCCACCCAACAGGCTGCCAAGCCATACTTGTAATCAACAGGGCCAAACTTATCTCAACCCTAATGCGTGTGAAGCCAACTATGTAGGCAGATAGGGCTACCAGCAATGTCTTCAAATCGTTCTAGCTACTTGGGTGCCAGGCAGACACTGGTATGTATAGATTCTATGAGATCTGTTTCTACACACTGGCGGAAAAGTAAGGAAAGTGAGGGAAAAAGAGAGCAGAATACAGAAAAGTATACCAGGAAGAACTAGATAGAACCCTTATCTAATCTATTTATTTATTATTCATTCACTCTATATATTTATTAAAAATCTGCCATATGCAGACTGGAGGCATGGCTCAAGTGGTAAAGTACCTGCCTCACAAAGTTAAGTCCTGAGCTCAAACCCCAGTACAGACACACACACACACACACACACACACATAAAAAATATATGCCATATGTCAGGGACTGTGTTAGACATGAAAAAGTTAAAAGAAGAATAAAACGTCCTTGGTGTGTTGACTGTGTATTATATAAACAAAAAATAGTAGCAGTGGTAAGTCCATAATAAAAAAGTGTTTTTAGAAAACATGCTTTAAAATGGTTATTGCTTCTAAACTCTTTAGCAGGGGTTGGCCAGGTAGTTTATTAAATGTCTTCAAAGTCTACTTTTACTTCTTACTATGTCTTCATTTAATTGACGTGTTTGTCAGTTAATATGGTTTATTTTATGCTTTATTTTCATATGCCTTTTCCTGAGGTTGATCTGGGACATTTTGCAAGACTCCTACATATGAACCCTACTATTAGGAAAGAAATTGAGACACATTCTCTGAATCTGTTTTAGAAAAAGGAGAAAGTTGGCAGGGCCATAGACTACAGAATATTTTGCAAGTGAAAATATTAACCCTCCCTTATCCCTGTCAAGTGTGAATTAGTATGACCCTTTTATACGGTCCATAATTATGTTCCACGATCCACTTATGATATCAAGGTATTGGACAGTCTTATCATAATTATAATTACTTTATGCTCTTTATCTATGGTAAAGGACTAGTTTTGTTGTATTTTGCAGTCCATCACAGAGTTCTTTTTTTTGAGGTGGAACTTGGCTGTGTTGCAAAGGCTGACCTTGAACTGGTAGTCCTCCTGCCTCAGCCCTGCTCAGAGCCATAGTTTTATAAAATACAATAAAAATGAATTACTAAGAAAGTGAAAGGAAAAAAGCAAAGACATACAAAATATAAGACTAAGTTTTTCTACTTAGGTTATAGAAAGATGTAAGAACATGCCACTCCTATCCTAACAAGAAAAATCCAGATAGTCCACAAAAATCATAACTTTTCTTCAATTTATCAGAGAGCTAAGGTCACAAAGAAAGCAAAGGAGCTTAATTTCAAAGTATCATAAGCCCTTCAAAGGGGAATTGAAACACACAAACTGTTTCACCTTTGATAGATCATGGAGGGGAAAGTGATTGCCACAGATGCAAATAAGAAGACATCACTTAAAAAAAAAATCAGTTTTCTAAAAGATAAAGTGTGGGCTAACATATAGTTGAGATAACTGAGAGCTCCAAATGCAAGAGGAGTTTTCATCCACTTGCAAGCCCTTCTCCACTAGTCCCTATCAGATACAAAAAGAAATTGAGTGGAGAAGACTAGATAGACCTTCTCTTCCCCTTATCTGTCATGTAAACAAAAAGAGGTGACTGCTGCCAAGGACAAGCTTAAAACACTGCCTGCTTCCTCAAATTTCTCATATGAAATAATATGATTAAATCACTGGGCTAAAGCAACAAGCCTCCTTATCCCCAGGGCCTCTGAGCAAAGAGTAGAAGCAACAGATTCTTTGGCTTCTGGAGGAGGATAGAAAATCCTTCCGTCCCCCAGGAGTCAGGCAAACTCATACTGCTTCTGGACAAAGTGTAGAAGCAAAAACCGTCTTAACTCCAAGAGAAGGTCAGTAAACTCTCTTGGGTCCAGGATGTTGAACCAATATAAAACAAAATTCAGCTACCTTGGGGAAGGGACAGAAAAATCCCTTCTGTCCAAGAACCACCAGAGATATATGGCAGAGTTCAACTGCCACAGATGGGAGGGGAAGGCTTACATCTTACTACATCTTCTCTAAGAGCAGGCATCCAGACATCAAGAGCGGAAGACCAAGAACCACCCTGGTTTTCTGGCCTTACATCACATTAACCTGATACTAAGTATAAGGAAATAACAGCAGTCTGCCATTGGGGAAGGTGTAGGTATACAGTGACTGCTAAAAGCTGAACATAGAGTAGAAACACTGAGAATGGTTTTCCAGCACCATACTACAGTAAACCCCCATGCTAAGCACAGGTAACAGCAGCTCATACTGAAAGGATATAAAGTCTGTGGTATAATTAGGGAGAAAATAGCAACAACAATGCCAGTATCCACTTCAACTGTGATAGCCTCATAGACATGGCCTTACAGAAGGAATTTGTCCTCACAATAACAGATATCCAGTCAAAACTTACAATACACATACAGAGAGAATAGAAAAGATGATGGGAGGGAGGAAGAGAGGAAAAAAGGAAAAAGGATAATTTATTTTTTAAAGATAAAACAATTGACAGAGCCATACTTAGTGATGGTAGAGATGTTGCACTTATCAGACAGAAACTTCAAAATAACTATATGTAATATGTTTAAGTATCTAGTAGGAAAGGTAAACAGCATGGATGAAGAGATGGAAGACACTGGTAGAAATAGAAAACAAAACAAAAACAGTATTAGGAATGACAAATGCCTCCTACAGGCTTTAGATCCTGCTGAAAAAATAGTTAACTACTTACAGGTCAATAGAAATTTACGCAAAAGAAAACAGAAGAGTGAAAAATATGTACACACTATTCAAGTAGTATATGATGATACCAGATGATCTAACAAATATGTTATCAGAACCATAGAAGACAGAATGAATGAAGAAGCAATATTTAAAGAGGCAGTGGCCAAGAATTATACAAAATTCTTAATAGACATCAAAATACAGATTCAAAGAGCTCTGAGACTCTCGAGGGTAAAAGACTACACGCACATACATGCACACACACTCGGAGCATATGTAGACCCCTTATAGTCAAACTGCATTGAAAGGCCTGAGGAAAAAGAAAAATATTTCATAAGGAAGGACAAAAATTAGAACTGAAAAGGAAAATTTGTCAGCTGAAGAGATAGTGTTCAAAATTGAGGGCAAAATATATTTTTAGACAAGCAGATCTACAGTATGAAAAATTTAAAAAGTTCTCCAGACAGAAGGAATGACTCCCAGTGAAAATCTGGTTCTTCACAAAAATAAAGAGCTTGAAAGTAGTAGAATATAAGAGAAAATAAAACTATTTTTCTTAATGACTATAAAAATAATTAACTATGTATAGCAAAACAGTAATAAATGATAGTAGTTTAAAGAAGAGATGGAGGAAATAAAAGTTTATTATGATACAGTTTTTATACTATACATGAAGTGGTATAATATTTGAAGGTAGTTAAAGATGCAAACTCTAGAACTGCTGCTAGAAAATAAAGGAGGCATGACTAGTTGTGGTTGTGGAGATAAAGTAGGGTCATAAAAAATAATTCTAAAGAAGACAGGAAGAAAAAGGTAATAAGTAATAGGTGAGTCAAATACAACACAGTTAGAGAAGTGATAGACTAATTTATTTTTTAAATTTTTTTGTGGTGCTGAGGGTCAAACATAGGGCCTTGTGCATTCTAAGCAAGCATCCTACCACTGACCTATACCCCATGTCTCAAGAGGATAGATTTAAGCTCAATCATATGAATAATTATATAAGTAATTAAAAGAGATTGCAGATTGGATTAAAAAATCAAGATTCAACCATATGCTACCCTCAAGAAACAGACTTTAAATTCATTTACATCGGTAAGTTAAAATAAAGTAAACACACACACACATATCATGGAAACAACAAAACTTAACCAAGAAATTACACAAAAATAAAGCTTCAAAACAATATCACCCATGAACATAGGCACAAACATTCTTACCAATACTTTGGTAAATTAAATCCAAAATATATAAAAAGGATTATACATTGCTTTATCCCAGGAAAGCAAAGTTGTGGTATGTTTGAAAAATCAATCAGTGTAATGGTTTTAGCAGAACGCGGTTTGGATATGAAGTGTGCCCCCAAAAGGCTCATGTGCTGGTGGCTTGCTCTCCAGTTGGTGGCAGTACTGAGGGATGATTGAATCAGGAGGGTACTAACTTTGTCAGTGCACTGACTCAGTGATGAGTTCATCCTGAATGGGCTACATTGAGAGGTAGGGCCTGGTTGAAGGAAGTAGGTCACTGGGATCATATATTTAAAGGGTTTGCCTTGTCCCTGGACCCTTTCTCCTCTCTCTCCCCCCACCCCCGTCTTA